CCCCTCCCTTGCCCTGCAGCACAGGGCAGCAGGACAGCCCATTTAAGGGAATAAGGGGCATGGTTGTCTCTGACATTCAGGGCTCCAGGGACACTTTCACTGCAGCTTCAGGACACAGTGAGCAGTTTTGGTCCCAGGGCTCTGTGTAACACCACCTACAGCCCAGGCCCACCCCCAGCACAGGCAAGAAAGCAGGAAAACCACCACAAAACTAAATAAAACAGCTCTGCCCTTTCTTTTTAGGTTGCTTTAAGTCAGTAGAGAAGCAGCAGATGCTCCCCTGCTGCCCAGCCAGCCCTGCCCTGGCCCCTGCCCCAAAGCCACGCTGGCTGCAGAGCCCAGCTCCGGTCTGGGGCTCCAGTTACCCTGAGGAAGCATCTGCCTGAGATTTGTTTTACCTGGTGAAATGTGAGCCCTGCCCGATGCTGCCTCAGCCTCGTCAGCAAGGAGAAGGTGCACGCAGCACCTCCAGGTTAACCCACAGAGGGTTTTCACAGACACTTGTTCCAGTTGCTCCTTCACATCGCTTCACCACAGCCTTCAGTATAGAGCTTTGGAGCCGAGAAATAAAACCCAAGAACCACTCTGCAATTCACCAGTTCTGGCATTTAACTATTAACTAAGTGATGCCCAGCCCTGGCAGCAGGGCTGCAAACCCCCCAGGGCATGGAGCACAACCAGACTTCCACTACCCACTCCTTTTTCTTCCCAAGGTGGCCTGGAGGAGAAACACAAACCCCCTGATGAGCAGATCCAGGGTGGAGGAAGAGCTTCTGTTTCCTGGAATAGATTTTCCCTTCAGATCAAGTTACCTGTAACATCACCTCCCACTGCATCTAAGGAAGCAAAGCCCTGAGCCCACCCAGGGTTATTGTGAAGACCCAAACTCCCCAGACCAGGGAGGAAGAAGTTGCCTTCCCCCATCTTGCATGAATCAAAGCCCTTGAGACAGCTTCAACCATTGAACTGGTGTCCTAGCAGAACCTTCCACACCAGGATGGAGCAGCATCCAGCAGCTTATGGCATTGCTGCTCTGTGCCACACATCCACTGGCAGGGCAGTACACAGAGCTACAGGGGTGGAGACAGAGCTTGCTGAAAGCTGCACCCAAGAGCCACACCAACTCCATCCTCACCTTCTGCTCAGCCTGCAGCTAGAGACCACACTTAGAGGGCTTGGAGAGAGGGAGGACTCCTCTCCAAGGGAGAGTGACATGAAATGGAAACCTGAATTACAAGTCCTCAGTATTAAAGGGCAGCTCTAGGCAGAGCCAGATCCATGGGCTCCAGGCTGCTGGAGAGCATCAGCAAGAGGTGAATGAGCTCCCACTGCAATAGTTGCCTCTCACAGCCCTCCTGCCAGAGGACCAGCATTTACTCCTGTCTCCAGAGCCCAACAGTTCCAGTAGCACCCAGGGGTGATGGTGACCCCCCTTCCCTTGGCCTGTTTCATCTCTGCTAGAAGCAGCTCCCCTCACATGGGGATGGTTTCACCTGCAGGAGGGTGAAACACCTCTCAAATAGCTTCTCAGAGCTGCTTCAGCCAAAGTCAAGCCCAGAAGCTTCAGCACAAGCACTGAGACCCAGCTGGATATCTGCTGGTAACACCCTGCAGCTTAATTTTTTCAGCAGGAAGCTTCTGGTTGTGCTTTCCACCCACAAAACATGCCCAGGAGCTCCAATACATTTCTGCAGGGCTCTAAGACACTATGGAAAAAAAAAGTCTATAAGTATTTACAACAGCTGATGAGGGAAAAAAAGAAATCCAAGCCCAGAAGTACAAAGCCAGAAGTGCAGTTTATTGACAAGTTTCAGAAGCAAGACTCAGCACCTTGCTCTTATTGGTTTGGATGTCTGAGCTTTAAGATACCTCCACCCAGCAGCTCAGAGCTGTGCAGTGCTTCCTCAGAAGTCAAAGTCTTTCTTATACTCTGAGAAATCATCTTCTCCATCTTTGCTAGTCTCATGCTGCAGATCTGGATTTTCCTAGGAGAGGGTTGAAAACCAGAAGTTAGAGGTTCTGCATCTCAATCCACCTGAGCTCTTTGCACCAGGGTTTGCCTGAAGCTTTTTACAGCAGCTTCCTGTTTGTTTTTAAAAATTTCTGCTGCTACCATGAGCTGTTGAGATCAGCTTGACTAACAGGACCCTTGGAGAGCAGAGCAAGTCCTCCTGTTCTTCACAGCCCACTGAAGCCAGCATCCCTGCACCTCAAACAAGCAGCAGCCAAGTCAACAGGCTCAGACACCAGAGGCAGGAGGATGCTGGAGTGGCAGAACTCACTCTAATTAAACAGTCCATTTGGAACAGCAACAAGCCAGGACTGCTTTGGAGAGATGCTCCCTCAGGCAGGTGCTGGTGTGTAGGAGGAACTTCCTCCACACCCTCTCCCAGGGACATCCCACAGACCCTGTTCTGGGCAGAGGAGAAACCAGACATTTGCTCCCTGTTGCTGCAGTTCACATCTAGACTGAGCCTCTGCCCCAAGATCTGCCAGGCTAAGCCTCTTCCCTGTTGTTTCCCCATCTGCAAGACTAAGGCTAGGACCAGCCATGGCATCTGTGACAGTCGTGGGACTCCCACAGCTCCTAGCTGGTGTCCTAGCCTCTTTTTCCATAAGTTGATCAGCATGAGAAGGGTCAAGTAAACCAAGTGCAACCTGAGCACAGTTATCAGCTGAGTAAGAGGCTTCCTTCCACAGTGACAAGCCAGCTCAGCTCCAAGAAGAGGAAACCTCTCCACATTTGGTATTCCTATCAGGAGCTGCAGTAACTCCAGCTGCTGCCAGTTTAAATTCCAGCAGCAGGACCCTAGCAAGGCATCCATATCTCTTGTGCAACTCAGATGACAATGTGGGGCTTCTAGAGACCTTTGAAAGCATCTACAACAAGCTGCAAGGACTACTCTAGTCACATAAAAGTCTCTCCCAAAAACCTACTTCAGCATCCTTAAAGTCTGTGCTTCATTCCAAGGTGTAGTAGCTTCATACAGTAAGACCTCACATACCTCAAAACAAAAGTATTTCTCCATGATAATAAGAGCAGCTTCATAGACTATATTGTTCTCATGGGTCAGCAAGGCTTCCATCTTCTCCAGACCACCAAGCTCTTCCACCAGCAGACACAGCCTATCTGTCACTCCCAGCTTCTTAGCTGCCTGTAACACCAGGTAAACAGACAGGAAAAATAACCTTGCAACAGGTCTGAGATGGTCTTCACTGGAAGATCCTGATCAAAGGACCACAGACCTCATTTATGGGTCCTACCTGATCCCAGGGACAGTCTGCTGGGACTACTGCAGGGGCTTGACTGCCAAGCCCTCCTCAGTCACACCCAGACTGCAGCAGCAGGTGACCTGCCACCCCCTGTTTCACCTGCAAAAGCCACTTCACTGCTTCAAAGGTGCTGCAAGGAGTAGACCTTAAATGAGGCCCATGGACAGCAGCTGGCAGGGACCTGAGCTGAAATGCCCCCAGGACCACTTCACTTCTCTACAGTGGCATTTCCACAAGACCTTCACTTCTCTCTGACTTGGTATTAACACATCCTCTTTTCCTTTCTAGAAGGGGACTAAAATGACAGCAGGTGAAGAGGAGCACTTCAGTAACTTAAGGTTGTCCAAAGAACAGAGGTGTCCAAGAACAAGTTACACAACATCAAGTCTACCTCTTAGCAAGACCAGCAGCTGCTCTAACTACACAAAGGGAGCATTCAGCTCACACTTCTCTGCTCTTTGGAGAAGGAATGCAAAAGGAGATCTTACCTTGAAGAGATTTGTAATGGTATCCAGGATGATCAGGAGAGTTTTGCTATCTTTGACCAAGAGTAGGTTGAGCAGAGGCTTGAGGACCCCAGACTGGACAAGCTCCACCACCTGCTCCACAGTCCCTCCTGTTGTGAGGTTGGCCACTACCCAAACAGCTTCTTTCTGAGCTTTGAAGTCCCCCTGGAGGAGCAGCACAGTGAAGGCAACTCCTAAGCTTCAGCATGCCTCTGAGGTCAGTGTGAGGTGAGGACAGCTGTTGCCCCAGGGTTCAGCCTGGGCTGACCCACCCTCCCCAGCACTTTGGGTGGACACCTGGCAGAGCTGCCAGGAGCAGCCCCAAGCCTTATTCCCTGCAGGTGTACTGGCAAGTCTGAGTGCTCAGGCTGTTCCAAGGATCTCACCAGCTCTGAAGCAGATTGCTCAGGTGGGCACACACCAAGTGCTTCCCAAATGAAGCAGGAGGGACCTCAGGAACCTCACCACTGCTCCTGCAGCTCTGCACCCATCCCTTACCTTATCAAGCAGCTCCACCAGAGGTGGCAATAACCCACAGGTGATGAGTTGCTGGATCTGCTGGGAAGGCCCTGCTGCAATGTTACTGAGGGTCCATGCTGCTTCCTTCTGTATAGCTTGCTTTGGGTGTCTCAGGAGACGAGGCAGGGCAGCCAGGACACCAGCATCAATAGCTGCCTGGGTCTGTTCATCAGTCCCCGTGACGATGTTCCCAACAGCCCGGAGAGCAGGAGTCTAGACACATTAAAGGAGAGGAGGACAACCCTTACCTCAGGGGATACATGCTAGAAAGTCCAGAGATCCCTCACCAAGTGTTGCATCCTTCAAATAAGAGTTGTGGGCTGTTACTGTTGTGTTTACACACCTATTGTCCTCCTGTTTTGCCCTAAGCAGCTTTCCAGTTTCTATCCAGTCTGCCAGTAGCACTGCAGTCTGAGAGGACAGCAGACCATGCTAGCCACAGAGTAAGGAGACATTCCTTTCCTCTCAGAGGTTTCTATATTAAGGGGCCAGAGGCTGGAGATTGTTTCCTACCATAATCATCATCTCTGGGCTGCCCATGAGTTCCACCAGTCTTGGAAGAATCCCCGTATCCACCACAATTTGGATGCGATCATTGGTGCTGTCAGTCAGATAGGAGAAAGCCCAGCAGGAGTCAGAAATGATGTCCTTGTCATCATTCTCAAGGAGGTAGAGGAGAACTGGCAGCATCTTCTTCACTGCATCCAGGGGAGGGTAGGGGTTCTTGTTCCTACAGAGGTTTGATATTGTCCACGTGATGTTCCTCAGGAATCCAACCTGAAACAAGGTGGGGTGGGAGGTTATCAAGGGAGATAAATCAGGTAAATGATTAAAACAAGAGATTCACCTCTCCCTCCTCAGTATTAAGTCCCAATAACTTAAGCTTGAGTGGTGTGATAAGCTAGTATGACTAACAAAGGTGCCAAACAGCTTATCTGCCTTGGACAAGTGACAGCATTCTTCAGGGCCAAAGAGGAATCTGGTGGGCTTTCAATATTAGCATTAATAAATATCAGCAGCTCATTGTTCTGGAGCAGGGCAGAGGATTTCAGCTGCATCAGTTCACCCCAGGAAGGATGCTCCCAGGAGAGCAGTGGGGCTACATTCAAAGCCCTGCAGCTACCAAGGCCTGGGTGTAGATACACACATGAACTGAAGTTTTGCCATATTTCTTCCACAGGTCTCCCTAAAGATAGCCCAGGAGTGTAGAGCCACCCAAAAAGCAGCAGGAGGAAGCTTGAAGTGTGAATCTGGCCCTTCCACATGCATGTGCAAGTCTTCCTTGCAGCAGTTTCACCTTACTCCTAGCTTGATATGGCCAAAGCTGGACAGGAAAGCTGGGACAGAAGACACCACAACACCCTGAAGACACGCTTGGCATTCCCAGCTTTGAGTACAGCCCAGAGGCAGGGTCATTAAAAAGCAGTTAAGACAGGGGCTCACTAATTACACAAAGAGCTTGTGGTTTCTAAGGCAGCTGAGAGACCACCATTCACCCACCCCAAGTGATGAAGAGCTGTTAAGACAAAGAAGGTTATTTACAGGAGTTACAGGTGACACCAGAGCCAGCAAGGGAGGAATCACACTGCAATTGATGAGAGCATCTCTGTACGTGGGACCATCACCTGCAGGGATGAGAAATGGATGTTTATGGCAGCTGCCCAGGGCACCAGACAGCCAACATCAAGCAGCAATCAGACCAGCAGGCATGGGCCAGGGCTGGGCTCACTCACCACCAAGTGTCCTCAGGCAGGGAGTGTGTCCCTGGGGTGCCACCACACTGGGAGGCTAACCAGACATGACCCACTCTGTTCTCCCCACTGACAACACCAGTGGTTTAAGCCATCCCAGCAGGATGGAGTCCTGCACTTGGCTTTGGCCAAAAATCCTCTTGCAGAACCACCACTGGGTCCCAAAGGCTGCCAGGCCACGTGGAGGGACGGGAGGGTCACGGGGTTCAACAGGGACAGCACCTGGAGATGAAGCTCAGGGAGATGAGCCTATCTTGAGGAGCATCAATGCTTTAGCTGCCCAGCACTGGCTCTGACAGTGACCCCTCCATGGCCCCAGGCCTGGGCACCTCTGCTCACCTGCAATGTTGCCCAGTGCCCACACCGACTGCTCGCTGATGTGCATGTGTGGGGAGGACAGGAGGGAGATGAAGGGTGGGATGGCTCCTGCCTCCACCACGGCCCTGGTGTGGTCAGAGGTGCCAGAGGCAATGTTAGTCAGTGCCCAAGCTGCTTCAAACTGCAGGAAAGGATCATCATCATGGCCCAGGAACTCCACCAGCCTGGGGATGATCCCCAGCTCGATGACCTGGTTGATAGGAGGGTCATTCTGCTTGGACAGCATTCTCCTGCAAGAGAGGACACAGCACACCATGAGAAACACTCCACGGTGCCAGGACAGACCATAACCTTGTGGCCAGGTACAAGGTTGAGGCTTCCAAGGGAAGCAGCACCTGGAAGAGATGTTTCATGGGATGTTCAGCACCCCATGTCAGCAAAGCCTCGAGCAGAGGAGCTGCCATAGAGAAGCTTCTGCAGGAGACACTAAGAAGTGTCTGTCACTCCCCAGCTCAGGAGCTCTAGCCAGAGCTCACACTTAAGTTTTGCAGAAGGCTTTTCCAGCTAAAAACAAGAGCCCCCAACATCCCACTGCTGCTTCCTGCCTCCCCCCAGTGCAGGGGCATGTGCTGCCATGCCTGCTGCCAGCTGAGTGATGGTGGCACCCTGGGATCCCCCCTGCCCCCCTCCAGGGATGCACAGGGATCAGCTCTGCTCAGCACTGACCCTGGCAGACCCCAGGCTTTCCAGCCCTTGTCCTGCCCCAGCCTTTGACACTTGTTTTCTTCCCCAACCACCTCCCCAGCTGGTGGGAGCCAACATAACCCCTGTCCCATCACAGGCACAGCAAGGGGGGCAGCTCCAGGAGCCACGGCCAAGCCCTTGGCTGGCTCCAACCACACAGGTCCCAGTCCCAGGCACTGCAGGTGGAGCCAAGCAAGGCCCACAGGGCACAGAACAGGCACCAGCAGAGATCCCTCAGGGCAGTGTGGGTTACCAGGCTGCCTGCCTCTTTTTGTCATCTCTTGAGACAGGAAGGAATGTCTTCTGCTGCCAGGTCCCACCACAGCTCCACCAGCCTCCTCTCTCCCAGCATACCTGATGTCCTGCACAGCCTGCAGCTGCAGCTCCCTGTCACTCCCATTCACAGCTTCCACAATTTCCTCCAAGGACAGCTGAATAATCTGTGTCACAGGGAGTGATTCAGAGTCAGACAACAAGCCAGGACTCCCTCCACCTTAATCTCTGCAGTCAATCAGCTGTCTAGACTCGAGTCAGTCACCACCTCCTATCTAAGCAGTGCCCAGTCTTTATGCAAGGCAGTTTCGAGATGAGGCAGAGGAAGAGACTCCACAAAAGCCTTCGAGGCAACTAATCCTTGTAATCAGGCAAAGAAAGAGTCCCTGACACACCACAATGGGCCCACGAGCTCAGTAATTACCCCTCGCTGCACAGGGAGCCAGACAGGAGCTCTGGCAGCTCCCAGAGAGCTGGAGCACCAGCCTGTTCTACCTGCCATCAAGGGAAGCCACATGGGACATGCAAAAATCACCCAGGGAGAGGCTGAGCAGTCTAAAACATCCCCCCTGTGCTGGGCATGGCCATCAGGAGTGACCCTGGCTGTTTATCCCAGGTCACTGAGCTGGACCTGCTAGCAGCCCAAGCAGGTGATGCCTCCTGTACAAGCTGCAGCACCAATCCTGCCCGAGTGCAGAGCACCCAGCACTCACCTCCTTTTTGTCTTCTGGAGAGAGACTCTCATCCACCAAACTGAAGGAGATGCTCCTGCGCTTCAGGATCTGCTCATCCTTCTTGGCCTTCCTCAGCTCCATGCTCACCTCCACTCTCTGCCTGCGCCGGGCCTGGGGGGAGGTGGGGGCAGGGGTGATACCCCTCAGGGCTCAGCTCCACAGCCCTCTGCCCCAAGTTCCCTACCCAGGGGGTGCAGAGAGCCAAGCTCTGCTCTTAGGCAGCTCCTACTGACCCTCCAGGCCATAGCAAAGGAGATGGGACAGGGAAACATCTCACTTAGTGCCTCCCAAGGACATGGGCTGCTGGATGAACCAGCAACCAGTGGGTGTTTTATTTAAAAGTACATTTACTGAACCTGAAAGGCAAACCCTCATCTCCTCTGCTGGCTTAAAGTGAGCTGACAGATCCCCTGGTCTGACACCCCACACCAGCCCCCTCTGTGCAGGGAGAGCTGCTGCTGAAAGCTCAGCAGGCTGGGGCTGATCTCCCTTGCCCAGCACAGCTCAGAGCCACCTGCCCCAAACCCCCTTGCCTGGACTACCACTCCCCTTGCAGCCCAGCCAGCCCCACAGCACACCTCAAAGGCTGTGGGCAGAGCCATTCCACCCCCCCACTCCCCAGGCAGGGAGATTTGGGGGCAATTTGCCTTCAGAAGCCTTCACATCAGCTCCTGCCAACAGGCAAACCCCCAGCAGGGGCCACCATCCAACAGGGATGGCACAGGGGGTGGTGGAGATGGGTACTCACAGTGGAGTCCTTGCCCTTGTTCTTGAACTTCTTCATCCACTGGCTGTGCTTGTCCTCCACAGGCATCTTGGCAGGTTTGAGAGCAGCACCAGCCAAAAGCCTTCACGTCCTTTTGGGGTTCAGGACAGAGCAGGGTCAGGTCACAACCACACCAGTAACACCCATCTCCATCCATAGAAGGGTCTGGGACACCCCCTCAGCTCCCCTCAACAGCCTGGGCCACACATTTTCTCCCCCACTTCCCCGGTACAGGAGATGCTGGAGGTTCCCTGTCTTCAGCAGAGCTCTGAAAGATCCTCACACTCTGCAGCTGAGCCAACGAGCTAAATACCAACACAAACTACCACTTAACACCTACAAGGATTACAGCTGCTGCTGGAGCCCCAGGAGGAAGCTGGATACACCACTTCTCCTGGCTACAGGAACACCACCTTCCTCCAGTGCTGATCCCAGGGCTTTTGGGTTACTCAGAGCCTAAGCCTGGCAGGGCACATTGCCTCCAAGAGCATCAGCTTCAGGTCTGATTTGGGGACAAGTAGCCACATCCAAGCCTACCCTCACTCCACCATGCAGCCCAGCTTGGCTTCCTACAGCAAGGCCCCCCAGTAGCAAAGAGATCTCCTAAAAACTCAGCTACCAGTAAGGACTACCAGGTAAAACAAATCAGAGACATGTGAAACCATTTCTAAAGCTCCCCTTGTGAAAGAGTCATACAAACAAGACCAAGAGCAGACCTTCAGACAGTTTTTTTCCAAGAAAGCAAGGCTTCCACCCAGCAGAAGTGAGGGTGGTGTTTTCAGAGCAGGCAGACACCACCAAGGGCCCCCTAAATCCACTCTGCATAAGCACTCAGACAAGTGTTGAGTCTCCACCTGCCCTCCAGGCTTACAGCCAACACCTGGGGCTCAGATCAGCCTTCAAGAACTCCCTTTATTCCATTTAAATTTAAGGGGTTTGAGGATTCTCTCTTCTTCCTGCCCCCAAAGCTGGATCCCAGCAGCATCTTTACTCCCCCACAGCAGCCAACCACCAAGCTGCAGCTCAGAGGGACCAGGATGAGCCACCTCTTGGCTCAAGCCAGTTACACCCCATAGCCTTAAGCCTTACAAAGTTCAAAGGCTGCTTCAGCCTCCCTTCCTCCAGTTCTGCAACAGAGGGAACAGTAACACCCCAAAATGACCCTCCTTTTCATGCTTCCACCCCCACCTCAGCAGAGGTGCCCCACAACCCACCCACTGTCACTAGCCAAGCAGGACACCCAGCACAGCCCCAAACAGCCAGCAAAGTCCAAGCAGCAGCTCCACATCCACTACAGGTTGGAAAGGAGCACCCCAAAGATGAAGAGAGGTACTCACCTGAACTTTCTCCATAACCCATGGCCCTCAGACTGCCTCTTTTATCTGCCACAGGGAGCCACATCCCCTCTGGTGCCCTCCCACGATTGGCTCTTCCCAGGACATCCCTCCCGTTATCTCCAGCTGCTCCTTTGCCATGGCCACCTGGAAACCATCACAGAATCATCTAGGCTGGAAAAGACCTTTCAGATCATGGAGTCCAACCATCAACCCAGCACTGCCAAGCCCAGCACTTGGGGATGTGGATGGCAGGATGGACCTGGAGGAGGATGGGTGGTGATTCCTTCCCTTCTGAGCTGCCCTCCTGCCTCTCACACCCTGACACCCCTCCATATATTGGCACCTTGGTCATGTTTGTGGCCAGACCCTCCTGGGAGATGCCAGCCCACACCCCTACGATGTCCTGTGGCGTGGGGGACAGGCTGGGTGCTGCCTCCCTTCGCTGGGCAGGCGTGGGGCAGTGCTGGGCACGGGCTCTCTGGGACTCCCTTTTGTGTCCAGCTAGCTGGAAGGTCCTTGTGGCTGGTGGTGGAGGCCAGGAGAACAGCTGCCTTTGGCTAGTGGGGACCAGGGCCACGGAGCCAGGCGGTAGCTGAGGGGAATCAGCCAAGAGGAGATTGCAAGTGGGCTAAGACAGGATTAAGAAACTTGGGTCAGCAGCAGGAGGTGCTGAGCTGGTGGCTGGCACAGACAGGAGGTGGCACGGAGAGAAACCCAGCAGGAGCCTCTTATCTCCATGAACCCTTTCGATTTTGGCCAGGAGCTGCTGGGCAGCCCTCGTGATGTGCCTGGCACAGTCTCCACCAGCTTTGGCCAAGAGCTCATTGGCGTTGGCAGTGCCCTAACGCCGGCTAACGGGCAGCCTTGGAGACTCTGAAGTCCTGAGGGCATCGTGGGTTTGGGAGCCCTCCAAGGCACTGTGGGGAACAGGAGTTCACTCCGTGGCTGTATCCAGCGTGGATACACCTATGGAATCACTCTGTGCAACACCCAGGCTGCTGTAAGCCATGGATTCAGATCCCAGCGTCGTGCCAGTTCCCCCTCTGCAGCAAATGCCTGGAGCTGTACGAAGCTTTGTGGGGAAGGTGATGGGAGGAGGTTTGAGAGGAGACCTTCAGATCAGTCTGGTGTCTGTGGGCATTGAAAAGCCAGCTGTGCTAATCCTAGATGCTGCATTATTGAGCTTCAAGTGCCACCGCTTGCATGATCTCGTTTCTTGGCTGCTTGAGACAGGAAAATTACGTTCCAATTGCTTTTTAATTCAGCTTAATCCGGTGCAAAAGTTGGTGTGCACCTTCTAATTTTGTTTTCTGAGCGGTTTGTTTCAGCTAATTCCTAATCAGCTAACGCTAAATCAAAACAGGCCTTGCTCAGGCTGAAATAGATGAGTCCTCATCACCTTTCCAAGTGATTTAATTAAATTGGCTTAAAATCAGGCCCCAGGATAAGTGAGGGCAGCCCCCAGCAGCTCTCCTCTGCCTGGAGAGCCCAAAGTGCTGCAGGATACTGACGCTCAACAAGGCTGGGAGAAATTTATTGTTATCCTGGGCTGGTCTTTCTCTCTCTTCCCTTCCCCTTCCCTCTCCACCTGCCAAGCACAATCAGCCCCATCCTGTTCAGTGGCTCTGTCCCTGCCAGCGTGGGGAGGGAGAGGATGGGGAGAGGGAAACAAGGGCAGATTGATTAGAAACCTCCCTCCCCAGCCTTCGCTTCAGTCAGTGCTGGCACGAGGGGTGGCCCCGCAGGCTCAGCCCCACGAGAGGCAGGGGATGAGCTGGGCAGGTTTCAACCCCTGCTGAGGACACGGGCAGATCAATATTTGCCCAGTGGGACAGAGAACAATGGCTGGAGGAAAAAAAAGCCACCACTATTTCAGTTTCCAGCATAATAAGAGGGTATCACAGCTAATGGAGAGGAAAGGAGATAAAACCCTAAATCTACATGACAGTGTCCCCTGAGCTCAGCCTTGTGTGCTCGAGCTGAAAATCCACATCCTGACAGGTATGAAAAGCTGTGGTTCCAGTTTAGAGGTTTTCTTTGTGGCTGCTCCCTCCCACCCTTGGCCCCGCACTCCACCAGGACACTGCAGGTTAGTTAGACTGGGACTGGTGGCAGGCTTGAAAACACCAGTTTTAAGCCCTGAGATAAAAGCACTGATCTTTCCTCCTCTGTTTTTTCATGTTTCTTTAACAAGTTTACTCCCATTGCATTGGTCAGGAAAGATGTCAGCGTGTGACATCAAATCATGGTTCTAATGGAGAGAGGTTGTGCAAGTGTCACAGAGTCTTGGTGGCCTTTGTAGTGTTAGGTTAACTGTTGGACTCGATCTTAAGGGTCTTTCCCAACCTAACCAGCTCTGTGTTTCTCTGCAGTGGGGTTAGAGGAGGCAGGATCAGCCCAGGTCCCGTGGCAGGAGGTTGCACGGTCACAGCACCTGGTTGGAGCAACCCTCTGTGAGAGGAGAACCTCACCTGGCAGAGAGAGAGCAAAGGGAGGGACTCCTGCCAACCCCCTGGACGTCAGCTCTCAGCCAGCATATTTTCCCTGTCAGCTCTAATGTAGTGCATTAAGTTCACACCAACAACTTAATTTTACTTCTTAGTCACCAAGGAAATACCCATTTGGGTTCCTGAACCAGCTGCCGAGGTAGCTGCTGGTGGACATGGCACGGTGGCCAAGTGTGGCAGGGATGGAGCAGGGAGATTCCTCCTTTTTCAGCTGGGATCCATCCTCTTGGCACACAGTCCTGGAGGGAGGCAGCTCTAACTCTGCAGCCTGCCCTGGTGCCTCCTGGGGAGCAGCCCCTGGGCAGCCAGTGACCTCCTGCCCACCAGCCATGAGATTTGTTTCAGCCCTATGGCTGGTGCAGCCCCCACAGTAAGTGGCAGCCCCCCTCTCCGTTACAGTCTGGCTAATCAGGACATGCAGAAGGTGGGAGAAGGGATTTGTTGTTATCCCTGCCTCACTGCTGAGCCAGAGGCAAAGCTGAGCTCTGTCTGCAGCTGGATTTCCCCAGGCTCAAGGTGCAGCTTGTTGTTTCCCCTAATTTAGCGCAGCAGCCTCAGAACCGTGGCCCTGCTTTTCTCCTCCTCTGCTCTTATCCCCCTGCTCCTCTGCAGCTGAGGAGCCCTGGGCATGTGTCAGGCCAGACAGCTCATCCAAAGGGAAAGCAACCCATGAAATCAAGGCAGAAGTGTGGCTTTCCACCAGTTCAGTCAGCACAGCTCCTGCCGTGGCCATGGGGTGGTTAGAGCTGGTAGCCAAGGAGGAGAGGTGCCCCCAGAGGTGTGTGGCAGCTCAGCATCACTGCTGGCATTGCAGGTCAGGGCAATCTGGTCTCCAGTCCAGAAGAGTGTGGCCAACAGGTCGAGGGAGGTTCTGCTCCCCCTCTGCTCTGTCCTAGGGAGGCCATATCTGGAGTACTGGGGCCTGTTCTGGGCTCCCCAGTTCAAGAGAGACAAGGAGCTACTGGGGAGAGTCCAGCAGAGGCTAAAAAGATGCTGAGGGGCTGGAGCATCTCTGTGCCAGGACAGGCTGAGAGCCCTGGGGCTGTGCCGCTGAAGAGAAGCCTCAGAGGGGCTCGCAAGAGCTAAAGGGTGAGGATCAGGAAGATGGGGCCAGACTCTTGTCAGTGGTGCCCAGCGACAGGACAAGGGGCAATGGGCACAGAGTGGAACCCAGGAGGTTCCACCTGAACATGAGAAAAAAACT